TACTGTTTCTTGCACCGAGCAAAGTGAGCAGACGCCCTGTAAAGTACCGCACCTACGCCGATGGTAGTTAACAAGGCAAAACATCGGCTGATACCTATGTTCAGCATGATATAAACTTTGTCCATGAGCACTTCCCTATTGGGCTTCATTGAGAAGACCTGTGTGTGTTTTTTGCGTTATTTTGTTGGCTCGATAACAATAAAAACAACATGATGACAATAAAAAGCCGAAGAAATTCAAACTCAACTTGGTTTTTGAGACATCTTTTGAACATTTAAAGTATATTTGTGTTTTTTAAATTCTATATTTTACCGTCCATGTACTGTTACACAATAATACATGACGTTATGACAAGAAAAACAGCCTCGCAAGTACAGTGGATTATAACTTTTGGGAATGTGGGTGGCTTCCTGTCAGGTATTTGATTTTAGTTAGCCTAATAAGGTGCTTAGTGCTTACTAGGCCGTGAGACTTACTGCCCAAACTGTGTAACAGGATCATAACACAAATCCACGCCACTTTCCAGACTTGGATTAAGACTGCTTCAAAGAAATTAATATCCTGCAATGAAACAGAAAAGGGCAGCTGGAGTTTCACTTTAAACCTGCCTCATGAACTGTTTTGATGTCCTTGAAATTCAGACGAGGAAGCTGAGTCTGCATTTTTTTCCACTCCTTCCCTTTCTCCGCTTTGTGAGCCAGGATCCTACATATCAATTGGACGGAAAAAAAGCGAGACTGGAGATGAATCGTGTTTGGACCAGGAGTCGTGTTTGGCATCAGGAGACAGACTCGGCTCGCGTCCTCAATTTGCCATCCCCCTGTGTGGCCTTTGATCAGCGCGGTGGAGGAGAGCACTTCATTCGTCGGACAGATGCTGCTGTTTGTTGCAGTGTACAAGGGCAATCGGTTACTATTGTCATGTAATCAGTGGTCATTAAAGCTGGGAGTACCTAACTTTCAACCCCAACAATGGAACTATGTAAAAAGAGCTATGTTTCTTTGTCATTGTGTGCTTGAATAAACTCAACCTAAACATAAAAACTAAACTAAACTAAAACCTGCAGGTATGGATGTTCGCCGCTATCACATCTTAATATTAGCGTTTCAAAAATCTAACTAACCACCTAACTAGTAAACCATAAGCTCTCAGTTCCAAATAGTAAAAAAAGGAACTCATAGGGCTCTTTCTTAAAGTATGCAAAATATGTACTAATAAGAAGATGGCATGTTGTCGGACTAATTCGATTCACAAATGCTATCTTCTTATTAGTACATATTTTGCATTACTTTAATGCAAGAGCCCTATGAGTCGTCTCTATTTTACTATTGGGACTGAGAGCTTATTGGTTTACTAGTTAGGTGGTTAAGTTAGTTTTGAAACGGTACTAATATTAAGATGTGATAGCGGCGACAACATCATACCTGCAGGTTTTAGTTTAGTTTAGTTTTAGTTTAGTTGAGTGTATTTCAAAGCACACAATGACAACGCAAACATAGCTCTTTTTACGATAGTTCCATTGTTGGGGTTTGAAAGGTTAGGTACCCCAGCTTTAATGACCCTGATTACAATGGACAATAGTAACCGAATTGCCCTTGTACACTGCAAACAAACAGGCTAGCCTCTTGTTCCGACGAATGGACGTGCTCTCCTCCCACGCGCTGATCAAAGGCCACACAGGGGGATGGCAAATTGAGGACGCGAGCCGAGTCTCGTCTCCTGATGCCAACACGGGGACTCCTGGTCCAAAACGATTCATCTCCAGTTCTCGCTTTTTCCGTCCAATTGATATTAGGATCCTGGCTCACAAAAGCGGAAGAAAGGGACGGTAGTGGAAAAAAATGCAGACTCAGCTTCCTCGTTCTGAATTTCGAAGGACATCAAAACAGTTCATGAGCAGGTTTAAAGGTGAAACTCCAGCTGCCCTTTTCTGTTCATTGCAGGATATTAATTACTTTGAAGCAGTCTTAATCCAAGTCTGGGAAAGTCTTGGCGTGGATTTGTGTGTTATGTCTGGTTACACAGTTTGGCCCAGTAGTCTCACGGCTCTGTAAGCACTTAAGCACCTTATTAGGACTAACTAAAATCAACTACCTGACAGGAAGGCCACCCAAAAAGTCAAAAAGTTCTAATCCACTGTACTATGCGAGGCTGTTTTTCTTGTCATTAACGTCATGATATTATTGTGTAACAGTACATGGATGGACCGGTTAAAATATTAGTATTTTAAAAAACAAAATATACTTAAATGTTCCAAAAGATGTCTCAAAATCAAGTTGAGTTGAATTTCTTCTGCTTTTTATTGTCATCATTGTTGTTTTTATTGTTATCGAGCCAACAAAATAAACGCAAAAAAACACACACAGGTCTATCTCAATGAAGGCCAATAGGAAGTGCTCATGGACCAAAAGTTAGGTTTATCAGCTGGAACATAGGTCTCAGCCGAGTTTGCCTTGTTAAACTACCATCGGGCGTAGGTGCGGGTACTTTACAGGGCGGTCTGTCCACTTTGTCAGTACAAGAAACATAGAGCTGCCGGCGGTCGTGTGGCACATAATTTTCCCGTATAAGACAGATGATCGCTTTAGGGAGTTTTGCGATTACGTGGGTCCAGTGAGATTTCCGGGGGGGGACTCGCTAGAAAATTACAACAAATTAGAAAGCCCCCTGAAATCTGGATAGCCCCCTGAAAGAACTAGGCTGTCGTCACCAAGTTGAAGGAGGCAACAGCCATCTTCCTGTGGACCCACACCTGCAGAGGGTCAGCGATGGGGTGGTGCCATGAGCCATTGGGTGTCAGCTATCATTGCCACCCCCCCGGAGACCTGCGAGACGCGGGGGTGTAACTCGCTGCTCTGACCATGTGAACAAGCCGTCAAAACTCTGGCGCCTAAAGGGTTAACCCGCAGCACAGCAGAATGGGAAGATTAAAAAAGCAGTTCTCTGTGCGCAAAGGTGCCGAAGCTTTTGCGGGTTTTGGCGCCGCTGTCTCAGCTCTGATCTAGTAGAACGCATAGATAAACTTATGAAAAGTACGCGGCTCGAAATGGCTGCTATTTCAAAGAACGTGGAATATTTTAAACTACGCGGTTAACCGGTTTCAACCGGTTAATGAGGCTCGGTGGTCGGTCATGAAAATGCATAGTTTTTTACATCCCTAGACACAACGCATGATCCGGTCTGAACGCGGCATTAGAGCTCATTAAATGTATATTCTAGAGACTCCTTGTTTCATGACTAATTTCAACTGTGATTCTGTGAATAAAGACACAGTTCTTGTTGGAAGTTAAATTGTATTATTGTTCGGCTCCTCACAGCCGTAGTTGAACTCTCCATTGATTTGAATATAATTTCTAAACGTTCTACCGGTCATTATTTCTTTATAACCGACCTCTCAAAACAATAATGACCATCTCTGCTTGTAATTCAGGTGGCCACTTCATCACAACGGGCGAGAGAAGCAATCAGACCTAGCCACGCTCAATATACACGAACAACAATCAATCTAAACATTTAAATGTTAATCAGAGAATACATTATACATATACGTTCTTATTACACCTGCACGGAGGTTTTCAGAATTATCTGTTAACGTTTTCATGACAAAAATACTGTTTTAATGCATCAAAAAATTATCCCTGAAACCCTGAAGTAACCGTTAACATAAATTGAACATTATAGGATGCATTTGCAGGCAGAGGATTGAATTATGGATTTAGATTGAGTTTATATTTGGGTCACTCACCGCTGATTCTCCAAATTCTTTGTTCAGTTTTCATGCAGTTCGAGAGAGTTCTAGTTTTGAAGTAGTTAGCCTAACTGTTACTCGCCTGCCACGAGAAAACCTTTGGGAACTATTTTATTTGCAGTCGTTAAGTAAACCTTTCGGCATTCATAAAAGTGGACTGAAGTTTATTTTGTGTGTGTGTTCGGTTGGTACAAAGGACTTCAGGGCATCCTGTCGGTACTTATTTTCCGATAATGACCTGCGTACTATACATTATCCCTTACTTAGTGCAAAAACAAGTAAAACAATAAGTGATTAATATCTGAGACCGAACATGAACTATTTACAAGTGCAGAATGAATGCAAGGGGCAGACGCGATGACTCTGTACAGTGCTGATTCAACAAAGATAGGCGCAGGAACAGTGCAAAAGGGTACGGTAAAGACATTTTTGTTGCAATATGCAAACAAAACTCTAGTCCACAGCCTCCTCGTATATTGGGCTCATGAGCCATGAGCCCATACTTGCTTCCATCCAAAACGGGCCGATCACAGTGGACCTTCTCTGTGCTGCCGGCTGCGTAGTTGGAAAAATTCGAGGGTGCGCGGGAGGGTGGTCCTTTGGAATGGAAGTTGGTAATTCTAAGCTCCAACCCCTGACATTTTTTGGATTAACTGAGAAAACTCTCCTCATGATTTTTTTTCTAAATTGGACCACCTTTACCCCGCCCTCAGTGACCTTTAAATATTTCCTTCTGGCCCCTTGCGGCGCTAATTGTCTGAGAATAAATACAAGATATGACAATAAAATGTAATGTCGGACCATTACCGTTGTAAAAGCCGCAGCGAGAAGCAGCTTGATCAAAGTACAGGAGATCTTTCTGGAGCTGCTGTTCAATCAGGATACAAGCGCCATTGCTTTGACCAGTGTTGGAGGCTGTCATGTCAAACAACATCCCCTCGATACGCTCCGCAAGGCCCCAATCATAGCATAGCTACACTAACATTCTCATACTTTCAACATAGTTTTTTGATATGTTATTGCCCTGTTGTTAGCGATTGTGACAAAATAAGGGTAAACTTTAGTCTCATTGAGGGAGTGGTAAATGTTGTTGGAATTGGATGAAAAAAATACCAGGGGAGTTTTTCCAGCTATTCCCACAAATGTAAGGGGTTGGAGCTTAAAACATACCGATTTGAGAATTTGCCCCTCTGGAAGGACCACCCTAGTGCACGGGTAACGCGCAAGCATACAAAGGCCTTTACACTGCCGCATGTTAGACCGCAGTATAAACAGGGTCATGTCTCACCACGAGTGGTGCTGCTGCAGAATGAACATGTGTTTGTTTCAGTTCATGAACACTGTCCGTCTGTGGGATTTCATCGAGGAGCGAGAGACCCGTGAGGCCCCGCCCAGTGGTGATGTCACCCACGAGACCCCGTCCACTGATGACGTCAACCGCGAAGCCCCACCTACTGATTTCACCGCTCAGGGCGGTGTCACAGCTGAGGAGGAGGAGTTAAGCCGCCGTCTGCTGCATCTGTCCACATCAGACACATAAACAATGAATAACAATAAACAATATTAAAGTCTATGAAATAAATAAGTGTGTAGAATGTGACGATCATGTGACTTATTTATCTTTATGCAGTGAAACAATAAAAATGTAAACCACTATGGGGGCGTGGCCTGTTTATTAGTAACCACCGGCATCACGTTAATGGTCCAGACGGGGTGTATTTATATATTTATATATATATATATATATATATATATATATATATATAAATGTAACCAGGTGAAGAAATATTCCTTGTTGTAAAAGCTTGTGTTTTATTTTCTTTGTGGTTGTTCGTTATATTTGTTTTGTTTTTTTCAAATGAGGTTGCCAGTGTTATGTGTCTTTTTGTTGTTGTATTTTATTTAAATAATAACATACTGGACGGTTTCCATAGTGACGCTAGCACACACTTGGTTTTTAACTGAAAGCTGATAGGGCAAATTTGCTGTCATGCGACATCTTTCTCAGATTTGTGAAAGGTAAGAAACAATCTGTATTATTTTATTTAGTTTGGATCATTTTGTTTTTTACAATTTAATGTTTAAAATGTAATCCGTGGATTGTATTGTTTCTTGTTACAGAGGTGCCACTGCCGTTTTAATAATACTTTAACTGACACAAATTTTGGTGGCTTATTTCAAGAAAAATAAAGAACCCCTCTTTATTTTGAAGCATAGCGTTTCTTTTTACCCTGGCTTCAATTTTGGTACCAGGAGTGGGGTTTTTCATGTATTTTTATACCACCACGCAGTGTCAACGTTAACATAAACGGCAGTGGTGAAGTCGGCCAACCGCTACGTTGCACGTGCGAAGACCGTTGCGGCTGTCTAGCGGAGATCAGCGGAGGGTTGACCCGAGCATCAACCGCAGCGGCAGTGACACGAGCGCCTGTAGGACCAGGAGGACAAGGAGCGCACATAAGGAGCGTTCGTTCACTGATCCACTATCTGTTCATCTGGACTTTTTTCATTGACAGTTGGTGAGAAACGGAGCCAAACTCATTCAAAAAAATGCATCAAGACGGTGAGAATTCTGGTCTGGGGGATCAGCCAATGAACAACAGTGGACACAATGAGCAGGACAATGAACCCGCAAACATGTTACAACAGATAAGAGAGTTGGCAAAGAAGCAGGAGGAGGTTATGAATGCTATGTCCTCTTTAAACAGGGAGCCTAACAGGTCCTATGTCTATGTACCCCGAGAGAAACACATTGCTTCTTTTAGTGGTGACATTGAGAAAGATGGCCGGGGTGTAGATGAGTTTATTGAGGAAATAGGCAGGGCACTGTCTGCGAGACATCAATCAGAGCCTGAACAATTTGATTTTGTTATGTCACTCCTTACCTTGTGAAAGGTAAAAAACAATCATACATACCCAGGCCAGCTGAGAGACATAGTCCCTCCAGCGTGTCCTTGGTCTTCCGCGGGGCCTCCTCCCGGTGGGACGTGCCCGGAACACCTCCCCAGGGAGGCGTCCAGGAGGCATCCGGAACAGATGCCCGAGCCACCTCAACTGGTTCCTCTCGACGTGGAGAAGCAGCGGCTCTACTCCGAGCTCCTCCCGTGTGACTGAGCTCCTCAGCCTATCTCTAAGGGAGCGCCCAGCCACTCTGCGGAGGAAGCTCATTTTGACCGCTTGTATCCGCGATCTCGTTCTTTCGGTCATTACCCAAAGCTCATGACCATAGGTGAGGGAGGGAACGAAGATTGACCGGTAAATCGAGAGCTTTGCCTTTCGGCTCAGCTCCCTCTTCACCACAACGGTCCGATACAGCGGCCGCATCACTGCGCACGCTGCACCGATCCGCCTGTCAATCTCACGCTCCATTCTTCCCTCACTCGTGAACAAGACCCCGAGATACTTGAACTCCTCCACTTGAGGAAGGACCTCTCCACCCACCTGCAGAGGGCAAGGCACCTTTTTCCGGTCGAGCACCATGGCCTCGGATTTGGAGGTGCTGATTCTCATCCCAGCCGCTTCACACTCGGCTGCAACCCCCCAGTGCATGCTGCAGGTCCTGGTTCGTTGGAGCCAACAGGACAACATCGTCCGCAAACAGCAGAGATGAAATCCTGTGGTCTCCGAACCGGACCCCCTCCGACCCCTGGCTGCGCCTAGATATTCTGTCCATAAATACAGTGAACAGAACCGGTGACAAAGGGCAGCCCTGTCGGAGGCCAACATTCACCGGGAACAGGTCTGACTTACTGCCGGCAATGCGAACACAGCTCTGGCTCCGGTCATACAGGGATCGGATGGCCCTCAGCAGAGGACCTCCGACCCCGTACTCCCAGAGAACCCCCCAAAGGACACCCCGGGGAACACAGTCGAACGCCTTCTCCAAATCCACAAAGCACATGTGGACAGGTTGGGCGAACTCCCATGAACCCTCGAGTATCGAGAGTATAGAGCTGGTCCAGTGTTCCGCGACCGGGACAAAAACCACACTGCTCCTCCTGGATCCGAGATTCGACCATCGGCCGTAACCTCCTCTCCAGTACCTTGGAGTAGACCTTACCGGGGAGACTGAGGAGTGTGATCCCACGATAATTGGAACACACCCTCCGGTCCCCCTTCTTGTAGAGAGGGACCACCACCCCGGTCTGCCACTCCATTGGCACTGCCCCCGATCGCCACGCGATGTTGCAGAAACGTGTCAGCCAAGACAGTCCCACAACATCCAGAGACCCTAGATAATCAGGGCGGATCTCATCCACACCCGAAGCCTTGCCACCATGGAGGCTGCCAACCACCTTGGTGACCTCAGCCAGGGAGATGGATGTATCCGTCCCAACATCCTCAGCCTCTGCCTCTGTAACAGAGGACGTGACGGGGCGATTGAGGAGAACCTCAAAGTATTCCTTCCACCGCCCGACAATATCCCCAGTCGAGGTCAGCAGCTCTCCACCCGCACCGTACATGGTGTTGGCAAAGAACTGCTTCCCCCCTCCTGAGGCGCCGGATGGCTTGCCAGAATCTCTTCGAGGCCGACCGATAGTCATGCTCCATGGACTCTCCGAACTCCTCCCAGTCCCGGGTTTTTGCCTCTGCAACAGCCCGGGCCGCGGCACGCTTGGCCTGCCGGTACTGGACAGCTGCCTCAGGAGTCCCCCAAACCATCATGGCTCAATAGGACTCCTTCTTCAGCCTGACAGCATCCCTTACTGCCGGTGTCCACCACCGGGTTCGGGGGTTGCCGCCGGGACCAGCACCAGAGACCTTGCGACCACAGCTACGAGCCGCCGCATCGGCGATTGAGGCAGAGAACATGGTCCACTCGGACTCCATGTCCCCCTCCTCCGCCGGGACCTGGGAGAAACTCTCCCGGAGGTGTGAGTTGAAAGTCCGTCTGACAGGGGGCTCAGCGAGATGTTCCCAGCAGACCCTCACTATACGCTTGGGTCTGCCAGGTCTGACCGGCTTCTTCCCCTGCCAGCGGATCCAACTCACGACCAGGTGGTGATCGGTTGACAGCTCCGCCCCTCTCTTTACCCGAGTGTCCGAGACACGCGGTCGAAGGTCAGATGATACGACAACAAAGTCGATCATCGACCTCCGGCCTAGGGTGTCCTGGTGCCACGTGCACTGGTGGACACCCTTGTGCTCGAACATGGTGTTCGTGATGGACAAACTGTGACTGGCACAGAAGTCCAACAACTGAACACCGCTCGGGTTTAGATCAGGGGGGCGTTCTTCCCGATCACCCCTCTCCAAGTGTCACTGGCGTTTCCCACATGGGCGTTGAAGTCCCCCAGGAGAATAACTGAGTCCCCGGGCGGTGCACCGTCCAGTACCCCTCCCAAGGACTCCAAGAAGGCCGGGTACTCTGCACTGCTGTTAGGCCCGTAGGCCGTCACAACAATGAGAGACTTGTCCCCCACCCGGAGGCGGAGGTACGCGACCCTCTCATTCACCGGGGAGAACTCCAACACGTGGCGGCTGAGATGGGGGGCAATGAGAATGGCCACCCCAGCTCGCCGCCTCTCCCCGCGGGAAACTCCAGAAAAGTGGAGCGTCCAACCCCTCTCAAGGAGTTGGGTTCCAGAGCCCAAGCTGTGTGTGGAGGTGAGGCCGACTATCTCTAGTCGGTATCGCTCAACCTCCCCCACGAGCTCGGGCTCCTTCCCCCCCAGTGAGGTGACGTTCCACGTCCCAAGAGCCAGATGTTGTGTGTGCGGACTGGGTCGCCGAGGTCTCCGCCTTCGACTGCCGCCCAGTCCTCTCAGCACCGCGCCACCACGGACCCCTCTGCAGGTGGTGGGCCCACAGGAGGGACTGCCCACGTCATCCCTTCGGGCTGAGCCCGGCCGGGCCCCGTGGGCTAAGACCCGGCCACCAGGCGCTCGCATACGAGCCCCGACCCCAGGCCTGGCTCCAGGGTGGGGCCCTGGCTGCGCCATGCCGGGCGACGTCACTGATGTCATATTTGTGCTGTCCATGGTGTCTTCTGGACTGCTCTTTGTCTGACTCGTCACCAAACAGTTCTACTTTGGTTTAATCTGATCATGTGACATTCTCCCAATCTTCTGCTGTATCATCCATGTGCTCTCTGGCAAACTTCAGACGGGCCTGGACATGCACTGGCTTCAGCAGGGGGACACGTCTGGCACTGCAGGATTTGATTCCCTGTCGTTGTAGTGTGTTACTGATGGTAACCTTTGTTACTTTGGTCCCAGCTCTCTGCAGGTCATTCACCAGGTCCCCCCGTGTGGTTCTGGGATTTTTGATCACCGTTCTCATGATAATTTTGACCCCACGGGATGAGATCTTGCGTGGAGCCCCAGATCAAGGGAGATTATCAGTGGTCTTGTATGTCTTCCATTTTCTGATAATTGCTCCCACAGTTGATTTGTTCACACCAAGCTGCTTGCCTATTGTAGATTCACTCTTCCCAGTCTGGTGCAGGTCTACATTTCTTTTCCTGGTGTCCTTCGACAGCTCTTTGGTCTTGGCCATAGTGGAGTTTGGAGTCTGACTGTTTGAGGCTGTGGACAGGTGTCTTTTATACAGATAACGAGTTCAAACAGGTGCCATTAATACAGGTAACGAGTGGAGGACAGAAGAGCTTCTTAAAGAAGAAGATATAGGTCTGTGAGAGCCAGAGATCTAAATACTTATTTTCCACCATAATTTACAAACAAATTCTTTAAAAATCCTACAATGTGAATTCCTGTATTTTTTTTCACATTCTGTCTCTCACAGTTGAAGTGTACCTATGATGAAAATTACAGACATCTGTCCCATCAAGTGGGAGAACTTGCAAAATTGGTGGCTGACTAAATACTTTTTTGCCCCACTGTAGTATATATATATATATATATATATTATATAAATGTGTGAATCCTTTTACAAATCAGTGACCTAATTTCTGGAGTTAAATCAACACAAACATCACGAGAAAATCACAGAAAAAAGATGGTTTTGTAGATTTAATGCAGTATGTAGATTAGATATGAAATATGCCTCAAGAAAAACCTGAAGGAAACGTTGATTGCGAGATACATGGTTAAAATGCTATGGCTAAGGTGAGTTAAGGCTAAAGTGTGGGCCTTTGTCCATGAATCGATTAAACGACCGAGGCTACCATGTGTTTGCAGCCTTTGTAAGAGACTAAGTGTTCTTTGTTTTAAGTGTAGGTTTTAAATAAGCCAACAACTGTGTGGAGCAAGAGCAGATCATACAACCAGAATGGGCGTTGGTCAATGGCGGTCCTTGGATCGAGATGGCAGACCAGTCCTTGTTCATGATTGGACCTTGCATCATGTGGTCCTCCAACAATCCACCATCTGGGAGCCACGGTACAGAAACTTCTCCCTGTTGAAGCTGGAGGCTATTGAAGTGAGAGTCCTCTCAAACCTGGAGCTGAGGTTTGACTGTTGAGTACAGACAGTCCACTGGAGGGCTGAGAGAGCAGAGATTATGTTCTCACCACACAAGCTTCATGGAGCTGTGAGGTTTTGTCAATCCTTTGGGTCGCCTCCCCCTGGAATGAGGGGAGGCAGAGGTCTAATCAGAGCGGTTGAAGGGCAGCATACAAAGGGGTCATTTCCATACCCCTACAATATGTATACATTATATATATATATATATAATTAAAAAAAAAAAAATTAAATATTCAAATTATATACGAGCACGATGATTGACAGCCCTTGGCATCACTTGATTGGTTAAAGTGGACGGCATCGTGGATTTTGAGCTATAGCTAAGAGAAGGGAAGGCAGGACCCGTAACATTATAATTCATAAAATGACTTATTTTATATCAACAGGAGATCAATTTAATACAATTAATTCATTTAGAGTTCCAGACTATCACTTTATGGACTTATCAGTCTAAAACTAATTCGAAAGTAGGATTGAGACCACTTCCATCCCAAATATGATCTAGTGCAGACCATGAGGATGGCCTTGGTGTTTCAGTGGGGGCTTCATGCAATGTGGGGTTGAGTGTCTTGCCCGAGGACACAATGACAGCATACATTAGAGGGAGCAATTGGAGTATGTCTTGTGGGGGTATCAAATCCATGACCTTCAGGCTTAAAGATCAATGCTCTACCAGCTGAGCCACAGTCACCCACATTGAATGCTGCTTCACCTCTGTAAAGGATTGCTAGCCGTCATATTTACAGCTTAATCAGCATTAACCATTCCGTTCTCATGCTTTGTATAGACGTCTTAAGAGGTAATATAACATTTGACCTATATGTGGTTTCTCACTTAAAGAACCTTCTCTACCGACCTTCTCCCTGAATGCTGTAAAGTACAAATAAGTGTTAACAAACATGTGTTTTACTTCTACAAACAACAAGGAGCGGCCAAGCAGGCTCGGAGCGGGACAGCGACAGAGCAGCCACGCCCGGACCCCTGCACCACAACACCATCTATAAGAAGAGGCAGGGCGTTCGGATCCTTGCCTCGCCGGTGAGAGGCCGAGCGCAAAATGCTTTCCAGTGCTGGCATTTCTTATTGATCCATTATGTATAGCTTGATATTCGAGTGTCACTCGAATATGAAATGTGTTAAGGTTCCTCAACCTTAACCTTGTAGTATTTTTAGGATTGCTGTTGACATGATAAATAGCTGTCAATTTTTATCCTGCCTTTTAATAGTGACACAGCAAACACCCTTTGCCCCAGCCAGCCCTGCAAACCCAACACAGCCCGGTATGAAGCCCCACTCACCAGATGAGGGAGACCAATACCTTGATCCATGTTGCTGGTCCTGGTCCACTCCAAACCAGTCCCTGCTTAGCCCCACAGCACTGGCACTCCCAGATAAATATCCTACAGATTTAAATGTGATCATTTATTCTTGAGTTTTTCTTGTTTTTCACATATTTCAGTTATTATATAAATGCTTAAATTGGGCTATAATCATTTTTGAAATTGATGTTTACAAAACAAGACTTCAGAGAGGTAAACTAATTTACACATTTGGTTCTGTCCTGCCAAAGACAGGAGTGTATAAACATGTAACCAATCATACACACTTTTAAGACCTTTGAGGGGAAATGTGATGTCACTGTTGGGTAAACAAACACATCTTTTATGAATGCAGGATTTGTTTTTAAAACCCTAACCCTAACTTATCAGAGCTCAGGCAATGTGGTATGCCAAATGTTCTTGAATGGAAAGCCTATAATAAAGACAGTGGCTCAGAGCATTGGCCTTTGAATCTGAAGGTCGTGGGTTTGAGCCCACCATGAGACCATCTCCAGCGACTTCCACTGATGACTGCTGTTGTTGTGACCTTGGGCAAGACACTTAACCCCACTTTGCCTGAAGCCCGCGCTGAAAGATTAAGGCTATGCTATAGAGTGGCCATCCTCCTGTGGACCGACATGTTTAACCATGAAAAAACATGTTTGAATATGTTTGCCTTAGCATTTAACTCAAAAAATTCAGCTTGATGATAGTAGACTGAAAACATGCTTCAAAAGCTATCTTGCAGGTGGTAAACAAAACAATTAGACTTTTCATTTGTGCTTGGTTGTGTAAGTCTTATTTGTTTGTCAGCGCAAAAATGCAGGGGGATTAGGGGCATAAAGTAGGGATTGTGTGCAGAGACATATTGTTTTGGGGAAGGCAGTGCTGGAGTTGCTGGCTACTGTCTTTGCATCTTCAAGCTGGGCAAGGTTATACAATACAATACAATACAATTTATTCTTGTATAGCCTTAAATCACAACAGTGGACTTAACAAAACCATTGAACTCACCAAAACAGATCAGAGAATCAACAGTTAAGACACAGAAAATACACATATGTTCTTATGTCCATATGGAGAGACCAATGTCCATGAATGTTGATAAATGTACATACATGTTATCTCCAAGTCTCCATGGAAACGACCTAGTTACATTGAAAATGTATTGAAGTTTTCGTTTTTTAAATATTTAAATATTATCTAGTGATTGTAAATAATATTTTGTTTTCTTCATTCTCTCAGCTCCAGCAGAGATTGAGTTTAATGGGAAAACATCCGACTGGACAATGTGAGCACTGTGGGGGCAGAGAAACTGTTGAGCATGTCCTTATGGAATGCATAAGATACAGAAGACCAAGAGAGACGCTTAAGATGTATGTGAATGAGCGCAACAGAACATTTTCTTTGAAGGAAGTATTGAGTGAGTGTAATTCGGTAGAGGGGGTAGTTTTGAGTTTCATTCGAAGCGCAACTGCCAATAAACCTTAAAAGAAGAAGAAGAAGCTCCAGCAGGGGGCGGTGCAGGCACCAGAGCAGCACTGAGCAGGAAGTGCCCACATTCAACGCAGACAGACGTCCTTAGCATAGTCTGTATTTACCTAACAAACCTAATAGATCCATGCTTACAGACCGTAAATACTAGACTACATTCTGAACCCGTACGAAGGACTGAACCAGTACTGAACCCGGACTGAACCAGGACTAAGAGATGGTAAGTGCCGTGGGTCTAAAGTCATGCTGCCCAAAAGACCTAACATGAGCTAACCGTACATTCGTCCTCACATTAAAGCCAGAGTGTGTGTTTTCTATCGCAGGGACTTTCTTGCTCTCTCTGTCACTGAAATTAATTACATGTTTCTGATCATTTCAGGCTCGAAACGCAGAGAAAGCCATGTGAGTCACACAGACACAGATAAATTACTAATAATCAAAAGTTCTTTAAAGTACTGTTACATACCCTAACCCTATTACACTGTTGTACTGGGATGTACCCTAACCCTGTTATCCTGAAACATACCCTAACCCCGTTACCCTGTTGTTCTGTTATACTGGGACACTCGCATATCGTAACCCTGTTGTACTGGAACATACCTGTACCCTAACCCTACACCTTTTTCAGGACGGCTCTGGCTCGCTTCCGTCAGGCTCAGCTCGACGAGGGGAAAATGAAGGTGACTTCAACATATGTGAAGGAATCAGCTCGAAAGCTTTGGTCCTTGTTCCATTTGTGACATTATTAGGGTCAGGGATCAGACCCTTACCCAGGGTCCCATCTGTTTTCACTGTACTGTGGATGACATGAGATGATCTTGTGTTTTTCCAGGAGAGACGTCCGTATTTGGCTTCAGAATGTGACGAGCTACCCAAGGCCGAGAAGTGGAGACGACAGGTAACTGGGAGTGAATTGTGTCTGGATTGGGACTGAACTGGGTCTTGACAAATAAAGGACTAAACCGTGTCCCTCTGTTTTTCAGATCATTAGTGAAGTGTCAAAGAAAGTAGCTCAGATCCAGAACGGTGAGAACCAACAGAGGGCACAGCCCTTACCCTGTCAGAGAGGGCGCGGACCTTACCCTGTCAGAGAGGGCGCGGACCTTACCCTGTCAGAGAGGGCGCGGACCTTACCCTGTCAGAGAGGGCGCGGACCTTACCCTGCCATTGTTGACCTGTTTGTTTTTGTTTGCAGCTGGTCTGGGAGAGTTCAGGATTCGAGATTTAAACGATGAAATCAATAAACTTCTACGAGAAAAACGTCATTGGGAAATCCGAATCATTGAACTGGGAGGACCGAACTATAGGGTGAGGAGGAGGAAGAGGGGGTAGAGCAAGAGTGGGTGGGGGGGGGGGGGGCTGGGGGGGTAGGAGCTCCAGGAGGAGGAAGGGAGAAGTTGCAGGAGATGGGAGGGGGTGGAGCAGCAGGAGGTGGGGAAGAGAAGGAGAGACGGGAGTAGTAGTAGTAGTAGCAGCAGCAGCAGCAGCAGCAGCAGCAGCAACTCTAACCCTTGTGTCTCAGAGGTTCGGGCCCCGAATGTTGGATCATGAGGGGAGGGAGGTTCCTGGAAACAGAGGATACAAATACTTTGGAGCCGCACGAGACCTGCCAGGGGTCCGGGAGCTGTTCGAGAAGGACCGTGAGTTAACTGGGACCGGATCAGAATTAGTGAGGTGTTTATGTTGTTTACTTTTTGATGTTTACTTGTTGTTGTTGACAGCGGCCCCGGAGCAGAGGAAAACTCGTGCGGAGCTCATGAAGGACGTGGACGCAGAATATTACGGATACAGAGATGAAGACGACGGAGTTCTACTGCCCCTAGAGGCCAAACACGAGAAGCACAGTCAGTATTCTACTGCCCCTAGAGGCCACAAATGAGAAGCACAGTCAGTGTGAGGATGTTCTATTGCCCTTAGAGGCACAGTACCACAAGTTCTTTACTGCTGCAGAAGTAACAATACTTCTGTCTGAAGTAATCAGGAGGTAGTAACATTACTTTTGTCTGCAGTAATCCTGGATTAATAGTACTAGGGATGCAAATCGGTGGTTGACCGTCACAGCGTTAACCGGTCAAAGCTGTCTGTTAAAAAATAGAAAAAGGGGAGAGGGGAGGTCTCTTAATAACGCTTTTTTAAGCCCTATTTGCACGGTGTGACTAGCGGGTCCGTATCTAGGTATGTGCGCCAATGTATCAGAAAACTCCGGGCCGACTCACGCCGCACGCGCCACATGTGTGTGTGTGCCTATGTGATTTTACTGCAAATGGCAAATAAATGAATCTGAATATGATATGCACGCAGGCACACACAGACACAGACACGCCTCGTCACTCGCTGCTCTGACCATGTGAACGAGCCGTCTTTTGCTTAAAAACGCTTTAACCCGCAGCACAGAAGAATGGGAAGATTAAAACAGCAGTTCTCTGCGCAAAGGTGCCAAGCTGTTGCGAGTTTTGGCGCCGCTGTGTCAGCTATGATCCAGTAGAACGCATATCTGCACTTATGAAAAGTACTCGGCTCGGTTTCAAAGAACGTGGACTATTTTAAACTACGCGGTTAACCGGTTTCAACCGGTTTATCAGGCTCGGTGGTCAGTTTTTTACATCCCTAAACAGTACTTCTGTCTTCAGTAATTTAGGAGTAACCGTACTGTCTGCAGTAATCCAAGAGTAACCGTATTCTGTCTACAGTAATCCTGGAGTAACCGTACTTCTGTCTACAGTAATCCTGGAGGCGGTGGAAAAGTGGAGATCTGAAAAAGACGTGAGCAGAACTGAAGAAGAAGAGGATATTTACAAAGTCACAGATCATAAGGTAAACGTACAACTGCGCAGTAGTAGTACTCACTACAGTACTCAAAGCAGTACTCTTTTCAGGAGGATGATGATGATGATGATGAGGGAGTCGATGGAGATGAAGAAGGAGCAATTTTCACAGCTCACGTCCCAGTGCCATCACAGAGAGAGGTAAAGTACAACTACATATGCTGCTACTGCTGCTGCTTCTGGGCAGAGTACTACAAGGGAGGATAAAAACATGTGTTTTTTATCGTATCTGTGACTCAGGTTGAGGAGGCTCTGATCCGAAGGAAGAAGATGGAACTCCTCCAAAGATACGCTAGTGAGACCCTGCAGCACCAGAGCCAGGAGGCCCGGAGACTGCTGGGACTATAGCGGTACTACTGCTACTGCTGGGAATACAGCGGTACTACAGCTACTGCTACTACTACTGTGCTTGGACTCTACATCTTCTGTAAATACTTTTTGATACCTTTTTCATTAAATAAACAAAACTAATTGAATTGACTATTTGGTTCTTTTGATATAAATGTACAGAGATCTTGGTGTCAAACTGTTGAAATAAATGTTTATCACATTTAACCCTAACCCTACTACATTTGGCATAAAACCGTTATACTTCTTATCTGGGTTTCTCAAGTTTGAACTAAACCTTTAGTGGTACTTTGCTGCTTCTGATACCCGTCTGTGTTGTGACAAGCTTCGAATTGGGTCATTATTATAATAATTATATTTTTTATAATTGTTATTGTGGTGCATGTTCATCGTGTGTTAGGTTGTTTGAAAATTAAACATTGAATGCGGATCATGTACTTTGTATCTATTCTGTAATGTATGTTTAGTGACAGCTAAAGTGATCAGCTTGTCGCGTGACGCTTGGTTTCCGAAACACAAACTGTAAACGCACTCGGACTGGAGCTGGGGATTACAGATTGTTCACCCGGAAAAGCCTCACCCCAGCCCGGCTATACCCTACTCCTCTGGTCGCTTACCAGACCTGTCAGCTCACTGTATTTTCCGATCTTTACTCGGGGATCCTATCCGTGTTTTCGACTCTTTTTTTCGGGTTATTTCTGTCCATTCGAGCCGTGAAAGATGGGGGCGCAGCGCGCAGACGGAGCCCGAGAATGGAGCCAGCAGGACGGCCCTGCGCCGGAGCAGACCCTGGTGAGACCCATTTCGAAAGGGGAGCTAACATGCTAAAGCTAACAACAAGCTAACGTGCTAAAGTTAGTGAAAACAAAGCTCAAAACAGCAAAATATTCGTATTTGACTAGCTAAGTCGTTTATTAATAAGAGATGAAATATTGATTATATTTATGGTGGCAACGGTAATAACACATTTAGTAACAATAATTAATTGAAGCCGCAAGCGGCGTCGAACGGCACTCCCCGCACCGAGCAATGGAGGTTCCTACAGCCCTGATGGGAGCAACACTGTACTTTGAATGCCCATGATCATTGATTTTTTTTCTATATTGAAGAACATGGGAACTTTATTTCTTTTTAGGCTTATTTCTATAGTGTAAGTCTGCAGCTCGCACACTGTTTGATTCTTCAAAATATCTGGGAAATGGCCGAGTCTGGTTTATTTTTTTGCAAGGTGTACATTTCAGGGATTTAAAGATTTGCCATTTGACACAGAATTGGGTTAGGGTCCGTCGCTCAGTTCGGCGCTCGAGCCTAATGATTATTATATTAACAGTGGCGACAGTAATAACACATTTATTAATAATAACTAATGGTATTTGAATGGGCGACAGTAGCTCAGTTGGTAGAGCATTGGCCTGAGGGTCGTGGGTTCAATTCCCACCTCTACACCTTCTCCACCGACTCCCACTGATGACTGCTGTCGTTGTGTCCTTGGGCAAGACACTTAACCCCACTTTGCCCAAAGCCCCCACTGAAAGATCAAGGCTATGCTCACACTCAGACAGCAGCCGCCCTCCTGTGGACTCACCACCTGCAGAGGGTCAGTGAGGGGCTGGTGCTATGAGACTTGGGTGGCATCTCTGATTGCCACCCCCCTGACCCAGAAATGGATTAAAGGGTAGAAAATGGATGGATGGATGGATGGTATTTGAATGGTGGCAACAGTAACAATAACGCAGCTTTTACCTTTAGTGAAGACTCATGTTTGGTTTAATTAAAGCTCCGTTTATCACAGGTGTTCAGGTTTAACCCTATTTCTGCAACACATACAGGTGTTCAGGTTTAACCCTAGTTCTACAACACAAACAGGTGTTCAGGTTTAACCCTCGTTCTACAATTCACTGTGGCCCAAGTAAGGAACATGTAAACCGAAGTCATGTGAACCCTAAAGGCCCACGTACTGACATGACACTAAAAGGAGAAAGTCTGTCATGTTGAACCTTTTATTGGTTAAATCATGTTTTATTTTCATAATGGTTTTCTTGCAAATGACGCATGGGTTCAAACCATTGAGGGGATGACAACAATCGCGTTTCATTGCCAACAAACAACCTGCCCAGTAACCTTCATCATATCATTTGTGTTGTTTTTTTTTCTATTTTAATTCATTGTTTTCCTTAAATATGGCTCGTTGATAATGGTGTTAGCAGATTCTTCTGGTTGAAATGAACATACAGGTGCTTCTAAAAAAATTAGCATATTGTGATAAAGTTCATTATTTTCTGTAATGTACTGATAAACATTAGACTTTCATTTATTTTACATTCATTACACACAACTGAAGTAGTTAAAGCCTTTATTGTTTTAATATTGATGAAGTTGGCAAAAAAAGTAATCTTAGAAAATTAGCATATCATGAAAAGGTACTCTAAACGAGCCATTAACCTAATCATCTGAACCAACAAAAAACCTCTTAAGCCACGGGGGCAAACGAGAAAAAATACATCTGCTGGCAATAGCAGATGTATTTTGAACTTCATAATCCACAAGCTATATATCATTTTAAAGCTTATCTTCTCAGCTATATTTATATGTAAGTCTAATCGATATCAGACTTTGCATTAAAAAGATATAATGCATAATATGGGCACAAAATAAATTGTGTTTGTATAAGTTTTTTACCTTTTGTCTTCTACTGCTCCAACAAATTAGACTTTCCCCATCCTTGCTTAGTCTTTTTCTCTCCGTAAGTCTTTAGTGAAAAAGAATATCCACTTGTATTTCCCAAAGTATAATCCATTCTTCAGAAATAATCCAAAAATGTGCATTTTTCTGTTGCAAAAAAAAAAAACGCTCAAAAAATGTTCAGGCTTCTCTTTCACATTTCACCAAGTTTTAGCTTTGTTTACCCCCACAAACATCACATCCACGTGTTCCTTGAGTCCTTAACTTTAAAAAGAGAGGTTCCATGAAAAGATAGGAGTAGGTTTCAGTCCGCAGGACCCTTGTGAAAAAGACAAACCGCATCCACTTGCACAGGGTCCGTTTTTGCCTTGTTGTTGATTACAGGCTAGTGCAATTTGCTAGCACTGAATGATTGACGCGTCTAAGTAGCCAATAAAAAGAGCTTTCTTTTGATGGGTGGGACTTGTAGGAACTCTTTTCATTTTCACAGTAAAAGCGTGCGTAAAGACGCTGTTAGTACTGCTGCGCATATTTTATATGCATTTACACTACTAAAAAAATAATTTTGAAAAAATGTAAAAAGAAATCACACAGATTTGTAACTTATAAGTACCAAAACTAAAAAATATGCTTTTTATGATGGTGAAATGTTAGTAAAGCAGTTTGGCACAATTTGGCACAAATTTTGCCAAATTGGTTCCGAATGGCACTACTTGATAAAAAAGAGAAACTGCATAAAAACTATAAAACTCAGAAGTCTGAAACTTCACACACAGTTGTTGTCAACAACACAATGAACAAATTGGCATCGGAAATTTTCTTCTTCCAATGAAGTAGGCTTTTTTAGGGCATTTATACATTGAATTTTTTAGGCGAGGCTAAAAAAAATATGTTTTTTTCCCAAACTTCAAAGGATGCAGCGTGAAACAGGAATGACATACATTATTTCAGTGTATATTTACATAAACTAGAAGGGCCTAGCTTTAAAATGATGCATCACACAAGCATGTGAGATGTAAGATGTGTTTTTAAATAAGCAAAGACATTTGGGTATGCCAAACTTTTGTGCACGAGCCAAAACAGATGTAGGAGTTAACCCAAGAGGTAAACTCTAAACACTTGCAGAAGATGCTTGAGGCTTTTAAAAACTCCCGGCCTAGGTCTTTACTCAAAACTACAATCATGGGTAAGACTACCTGACTGCTATCCAGAAGGCCATCATTGACACCCTCAAGCAAGAGGGTAAGACACAGAAAGACATTTCTGAGCGAATAGGCTGTTCCCAGAGTGCTGTATAAAGGCACCTCAGTGGGAAGTCTGTGGGAAGTGTGGCAGAAAACGTTGCACAACCCCAAGAGGTGACCAGACCTTGAGGAGGGTGGTGGAGAAGAGCCATTTCCAGACCTTGGGGGACTTGCGGAAGCAGTGGACTGAGTCTGGAGCAGAAACATCCACAGCCATCGTGCACAGGCGTGTGCAGGAAATGGGCTACAGAAACCACAACCAGAAACAGCGGCAGAAGCGCCTGACCTGGGCTACAGAGAAGCAGCACTGGACTGTTGCTCAATGGTCCAAAGTACTTTTTTCGGATGAAATCAAGGTGCCAGAGTGTGGAGGAAGACTGGGGAGAAGGAAATGCCAAAATGCCTGAAGTCCAGTGTCAAGTACCCACAGTCAGTGATGGTCTGGGGTGTCATGTCAGCTGCTGGGGGTGGTCCACTGTGTTCTATCAATGCAGCTGGGTATCAGGAGATTTTGGAGCACTTCATGCTTCCATCTGCTGAAAAGCTTTATGGAGATGAAGAATTCCTTTTTCAGCACAACCTGGCACCTGCTCACAGTGCCAAAACCACTGGTAAATGGTTTACTGACCGTGAGATTACTGTACTCAATTGGCCTGCAAACTCTCCTGACCTGAACCCCATAGAGAATCTGTGAGATATTGTGAAGAGGAAGTTGAGTCACCAGACCCAACACTGTGGATGAACTTAAGGCCACTATCGAAGCATCCTGGGCCTCCATAACACCTCAGCAGTGCCACAGGCTGATTGCCTCCATGCCACGCCATATTGAAGCATTCATTTCTACAAAAGGATTCCATATCAAGTAATGAGTGCATAACTGAACATCATTATTTGAAGGTTGACATTTTTTGTATTAAAAACACTTTTCTTTTATTGGTCGGATGAAATATGCTAATTTATTTAGATCAAGCCAAAATCATCAATATTAAAACAATAAAAGGCTTAAACTGCTTCAGTTTTGTGTAATGAATCTAAAATATATGAAAGTCTAATGTTTATCAGTACAGTACAGAAAATAATGAAGTTTATCTCAATATGCAATTTTTTTGAGAAGGACCTGTATATCTTGTACCCAACCATTAGTAAAAAGTCCACGAGCCTCCAGGAATTAGCAATTTCTGAACTCTTCGAGTGTATATGCACTGACTCCATTCTCAAGATAACAAACAACGTCCATATTTGTTGTTGGTGGAAAAAGTGTTGGGTCAGTAGTGCTAAAAGAGGAAAGCATAGCTAGATACCGGTCTTTGGCATCCTTGTTGAGTTTCTCCCTGTAAGCCTTCTTCTGGTTCTTATTTTGAATGTCCATTTTGCTGAATAATAAGCATGCTGACTGCACTCTGACTGCTTGATTGACAGCTGCTATCCCCTCAGTATGGTGCACACACACCAAGATACGCTTTGGTCACGTTACTGCAAAAGAGCCATTAAACTTTAATTAATTTAATTAATTTTATTATTAAAGTAGTCCAGCTCTGACAGTAAGGGTAAGCATTAGCAACACCGCTACATTAGCATTAGCATTAGGATTAGCATGGATGATGATGAACCATATGCTTATAATAGATCCATGACCTTATGTAACAACAAAACATGGAGAACAATAAAACGTTCTTCTTTAGTCGCAGCCGTGGAACCTGATGATCAAACACCGCCCCCTGCAGAAAAGAGGGCGACGCTCCCACCTGTCCCTCAGGTATGTCAGTTGTCAGTCATCTCAGTGATGACATCACCTGTCCCTCAGGTCTGTCACATGTCCCTCAGGTCTGTCCTCCTTTTGTTTCCATAGTTACACAGACCCTCGCCTCTCCATGGATCTGCTCAGAGCCGTTCTTCAGCCAAGTTTGAACCAGGAAATACTTCAGGTCTTCAACAAGTACCACCAGGTGTGTGTGTGTGTCTCTGTCTCTGTTTGTGGTTGTGAGTTTGTGTGGGAGTCCGTGTCTTTATGTGTGTGTATGTGAGTGTGTGTATCTGTTTCTTTGTGTGTGTGTGTGTGTCTGTGTGTCTGTCTGTGAGGTTCTGTGTGTAGGTGTCTGTCTGTGTGTGTCTCATAGTCGCTGTGTTGTTGTGTGTTCAGATCTTGGACAGAGCTGTACAAAACGTGAGAGAAAATGTTGGAGAAGAAGTCCAGACAGATCAGCTGATCAGGGACACGTGTCGGAGCGCCCTGGAGCATGTGAGTATTGTACAAGTACTACATTACTACAACAACTATAAGTATCACAATACTACAAATACTGTGATACAAGTACTACAATACTATAATGTTCAGAGACACGTGTTGGAGCACCCTGGAGCAAGTACTACAATGCAAGTACTACAATACAAGTAAAACAAGGTGCCACAATCTGACAGAGAGCTGTTTTGCAAAGAGGAATGAGCAAAACGGTCAGTCTCTAGATGTGGAAAAGCAAATAATACTCAAAACTATGGAAGAGGTTCCTACCTGATTACAGGTGGTGATGAACCAGGTGATGAACCAGGTGCCAGTGAGCAAACTGTAAATGTGCCAACAGAAACTTCTGCTGTAGTATTTTATGCTAGTACAAGAGAGTTAGTATTCGAGTATAAATTCTCGAATAGTCTATCTACGAATAGTCTACGGGTAGTCTACTCTGGTAGACTACTCTGGTAGACTACCCGCTGCAGTCCCATCTCCTCCAAGGCCGGCCCCCTTCACCCTCAACCTATCACACAGTGCTGCCAACCCTTGCCAATAAAACCTGCAGTTTGAAAGCAGAAACTCTCCTCCAACTAACGCTTAAAGCTTTTGCCACCACCACCTCCCGCCTCCCCATCTGGTCCTTCAAGTGCATGCTCTCATCTCAACTCTGCCCTCATGCCAGCACCAGACCCCGGGGGTCATCAGAGTCACACAAGCAATGGTCTTCCCTGTTTTAGCATCAGAGCCGGAGTATGCGCCAAACAAACAAACAAATCAATAAACGTTCATAGTTCATACTCTGTGTCTGTCTTGTCTCTCCAGATAAAAGTGTGACTGTGATGTTGTGTTTCAGGCCAAACTCTTGTTCCCAGAGACAGAAGTGAAGAAACCTCCTCCTGAAGTCACCTACAAAGTACTTATGCTACTACTATATTACTAGAATACTTCTATACTAGAAATTATACTACTACTGTACTACTACTACTTTTACTTCTACTATACTACTTATACATATAAACTACTGCACTCATTGCTCCTTATTATAGTAAATGGCCGTTTTAAAAAAAATATATATATACCTATATATTTACCTACTTTTTTCAACTACTGTGTTTTTTTAGCGTCACAGAGAAGACGAGAATCACCGAGCAAGTCCTGTACCCAAAAAGGTAGTATACACTAGCACTACTGCTGCTACTGCTGCTACTGCTACTGTTTCTGCTACTACTGGTACTACTGGTACTGCAACTGCTTCTACTGCTGCTGTTACTACTACTACTGTCCAAGAAGTTAAATACTATAATACTCATTGCATTACAACTGTGTGTATTTCAGAGGAAGCCGCGTTCTGGACCAGTTCATGAGCGGCCGCTGACATTCAGCCAGTAATCAATACTATGTCAATACTCTCATAACACTTGCTTAAAGCTGGGGTCCGTAACTTTAGCCTCATAAATAACAAATGTTTAAAGCTGGGGTACATAACACTAGTCTCAAAAATAGCACGTTTAAAGCTGGGGTCCGTAACTTTAGCCTCATAAATAACACGTTTAAAGCTGAGGTACATAACTAGTCTCAAAAATAGCACGTTTAAAGCTGGGGTTTGTAACTTTAGCCTCATAAATAACACGTTTAAAGCTGAGGTACATAACTCTAGTCTCATAAATAAAACATGCTTAAAGCTGGGGTCCGTAACTTTAACCACATCATTAACACTTGTTTAAAGCTGGGGTACGTAACTTTAGCCTCATAAATACGTTTAAAGTTGAAACTTACAGACCCCAATTTTAATATAGCATGAACTATTTGAATATTTGTTTCAGAGCGAAGATAAAGGCGGAGCCTGTGAAACGGGAGGGGCCTAAGGTCAGATACGGTTAAGCCCCACCCTCTTATGTTAAGTTCCACCTCATCAAATATTGTGTTTAAAGTAAATGTTTTTTCCAGTGGGATCCAAACAGACTGAACGAGAGCAGCACCTTTGTCCTGGGCTCTAGAGCCAACAAGTGAGTACTGCTACTGTTACTGCTTCTGCTGCTACTACTGCTACTGCTGCTGATACTACTGCTGCTGCTACCGCTATTACTGCTGTTGCTACTGCTAAGATAAGATAAGAGAACCTTTATTTGTCCCACAGTGGGGAAATTTCAATGTTGCAGCGCACATACAGGACAGTAGTAAGAGCTCACAACATATACAATACAAGTAGTTGTAATGCTTCTTGATTCAAAGTTTCCTCTACCACTAAAACATGAACGATGGTTCTGCAGGTCATGAGGCAGTGGTGTGCAAGTATTGCTACTACTATTTGTATTCTGAATACGTGTATTCAGTTACTATCAAGCACTGCAACAACAAGTACTATTATTTCAAATATTAATGAAAGTACCTGTTTTTCCAGAGCTTTAGGAATGGGAGGCACCAGGGGCCGGATCTACATCAAACACTCCGATTTATTCAAGGTAAACTATTCCTACTACTACTAATAATGCTGCTACTAGTCCTACTGCTACTCCTACTACTACGACTACTGCTACTACTACTACTACTACTACTACTACTACTACTACTACTACTACTACTACTACTACTACTACTACTGCTACTACTACTACTACTACTACTACTGCTACTACTGTGACTACTTACTCCTGCTACTGCTGCAGGCTAATATGTGGTTTAGCACCTGGTCCAGACCTTGGGTAGACCTGGTTTACCTGTGTAACTCTCTCTTCCAGTATGCTGCGGACGTGAAGGATAAACAGTGGTTGGCCGAGAGACATCACATGAGAGCGACTGGAGGCAAAATGGTGAGAGCAGCTCTAACCATAAGGAGGTGTTAGTGTCAGATCTGACCACATGGGGGCAATAGTGTGTTAGTATAAGCTCTAACCACAAGGGGGTGATTGTGTGTTAGTTTATACTGTAGTTACATAAACTGATGCAGGACTCTGGCCTGAGTGGACCGTCCAAAGGGCCACAGCTGGCCTTCTGGTCAGGGTTTGTCCACTGCTGCACTAACCCCATAACAGGGACAGGGTTCGCGACCCGAAACTCATTTTGTCTCTTTGACCCTAATTCTACTGTTGAACCTTTGACCCAACCTTTGACCCGGATGTAAAACTTCAGTGATGTTTTTGTGTCTCAGGCGTATCTGCTTATTGAAGAGGACATTCAGGAGCTGTCCCAGAGCAATGACTACAGGTACACACACACACATCAAAAAGAGGATTGACAATCCCCTCCCCCCAGGTTTACATACGTCAGGGAGCTGCAGCTCTAGCTACAGTGTGCTGTAAGAAAAAGAAAAATCAAAAATTTAATCGAATCATGACCATATTGAATTGAGGATTTGAGAATCATGACACCCCTAGTAAACACACACATGCTCACACATCCCTGACCTCTGCTGGGTTCTTCATTCCCTTCACACCTTTATAGTCAGGTCGACATGTGGCCTTTGCTCCGTGACCCTCACCTGTCCTCAGGGTTAGGGTTTAAGGCCCGGTGGGATAAGGTCAGGGGTCAGTGTTTCTAAAACCTGTCTTCTTCAGGGACTGTCCTGACGTCCACATGGAGGAGATGAAGCCCTTCAGCGTTCCCTTGTGGATGGTGCAGAAGATGCAGCGAGCGATGGCGGCGCAGAGAGACACCTCTGAACCCTAAAGCGGGTCAGGGTTAGAGGAAGATATATTTATAAATGTGTTTCAAATACCCCATCTGCAGTGCACTATTTTAAGGCACAACAATTTTTAATCACAGTTTTTACCTTAAATAAACATCAAATAACATGAAAAACCGTCCTCTTTTCTGACTTGACTATGACCCTAGCCGTTACTCTGACCCAGACCTGACCCTATCCTATGATCAGTTTTGTGAATAAGTTAATAATTGTTGGTTTCATGGTGCAGAATTGTGAGGTTTGGGTTATAAGTGTTCAATTATGTACAGCTCAAAAGCACAAGGGTAGCAGGTCTCACACAAACACACATCCTGACCTCTCTGGTGGGTTCTTCACCTCTGATCTCTGTTAAAGTGATTTTTATATTGGTTTAACCCATAACCCTCTGCATTCACAGGGTTAGGGTTATTGCTCCGGACAGTGACAAGTGCTGAGGAACAAAAATAAATGGGCTACACCATTTAATTCAAAGCCTTATTTTTGCATTAATAAAATATATGGTCCACATTCACACTGCTTTAACCCTCCAAGGTCTAGGGCCATTTTGGGGAACTTTCCTCGCCTGGTTTTCTTTGTGTATAATTGCTCATAAAAGAGTCATTATTTGATGCAGAGTCAAGCAGAATACTTTGTTTTTTCAGTACAACCTGGGGCTTTAGAATATTAAATATTGTAGAGCTGTCATATCAATTTTATAAAAATTATGGAATCATGAAGACAAATAAAAAAATGAAACAGAAAATCAATTTCACAAAAATTTATTGAAAGAACACAATGAAATGCTATAAACAACTTTTTACACTGTATAGAAATGTTATTTTGGGTCTTGGGGATAATGGGGAAAAAAATTGAAGCTGTGACTATTATACTTTTTACAAAATTCCACTATAAAAGCCAAAAACGCTGTACTCCTGATGCCCTTCCTGAAGCAGTTTGTCTATAAGGCTGGGGTTTCTTCAGTATCACAGCTGTAAAATACATAAAACATAAGAAACTAAGACACAAATATAAACAAAACATCTAATTTTTATATATATTGTTGTGTTCTAAGGTTGAACAAAAATACATGGGACAACTGTGTGCTGTTAACATGAGGCTTTACTCAACAGTCTGAATAATGAACAGCGCGCGTTACGTCAAGGGCGTCAACAAAGATCATTAGTGGAACAGGATGATACTGTTACATTACAGAATACACCACATCTCCCCTTTCACAAAAATAAAGAAAATACTTTTTTTTTTCTCTTTTGTTTTACCCTGCATATTCAAGTTTGTTTCCCTTTCACCTATTATACATATATAATTATGCAATAGAACATTTTAATTTCCCTATGATCTACCATGTAACATTTAAACTTTGCGCTTCACTTATTAAACATAAAGCTTAATACAACAGTTAAGAACTTAAGAACTATAGTGTAAACTATAAACATTCCTCATAGGTCTAGCCTTTTAGGTTGAACAATTACTCTCCCTGATCTAGTTCTCACAACATCAGTGTTTACAGGAGTAACTGGGGTTTCACTCATTCTTTTGGACACATGTTCCATCGGCACATCTGACACACTCTGCTTATTCTCAGACTTTTCATGCAAAGGAATCAAATGTAAACGATTGCATCTCACTGTCCCATGTGGTAAGTCTATTGTGTAGGATCTTGGTGTTGAGTGACTTTTGATAACAGTACCTGAGTTTTAGCATCAGTCACCCACACCTGTTCACCTGGTGACAACTTGTTCAAAGGTGTTGCTCGATGACGCTTGTTGTAACTGGCGATGTCTGACATCCTCTTCTCCCTTTTCTTTTGAACGACTGTGGCGCTGTTCGGCAGTGTCGGGACCAGCTGCGAGGGAAGGGTCGGTAGAGTTGTCCGCAGGCGTCGGCCCATGAGAAGTTCAGCAGGGCTGTATCCATTTTGAAGAGGAGTAGCTCTGTAGGCAAGGAGAGCTAAATATGGATCAGATGCTTTTTTTAGTAAATTTTTCACAGTCTGAACGGCACGTTCCGCTTCTCCATTACTTTGTGGAAATCTTGGGCTACTGGTGATGTGTTGGAAACCATAAGCAGCTGCAAAGTCTGTGAAAACCTGTCCAGAAAATTGTGGCCCATTGTCTGACATTAGGACCTCTGGGATGCCATGACGAGCAAAGAATGATTTAAGGTGATTAATGATGTCGTCAGATTTGGTTTTGTTTAGTAGGGCAATCTCAACGAACCTGGAAAGATAGTCCACAGCAAGAAGGTAAGTTTTCCCTCCCAGCTCGAACAAATCTGTACCCACTCTTTGCCACGGACGGTCAGGGCATTCAGTTGGCATGAGTGGCTCATTGTGGTTCTGTCTCTCTTGAATGCATGTCCTACATTTTAACACCATTTCACTTATTTGTTGGCTAAGCCCAGGCCACCATACTGTCTGGCGAGCTCGAGCTTTGCATTTTACAACTCCCTGATGTCCTTTGTGTAGTTTAGTTAACACGTCATTTCGCATTGTTGAAGGAATAACAAGACGTGAATCTTTCAACAGCAAGCCATCATTTACAGTGAGTGTGGCTCGGTCAGGCCAATAGTGCCGCAGTAGTGGTTCCTGTGTCGCGTGATCCGGCCAGCCTTGACTGCACATTTCCATTACCCGAGCACACACACTGTCCATTTTCAGTTGTTCTTTGAGTGTTTGAACATATGATGAACTGACGGGCATATTTCCAATTATGCTGTCCACATATATGTCTGTGTTTTCCATCAAATCTTTTTCAGATTGTGTTGGTTTTGATTTCAGTGGTGAGCGGGACAGTGTATCTGCTGTCCAGAGCGATTTACCTGGTGCGTACTGTACCTTATAAGAGTATCGCATGAGTCTCATTCTGAAGCGCTGAATCCGAGGTGGAAGTAGATCCAGGGCTTGTCCTCCCAGCAACAAAACAAGAGGTTTGTGATCTGTTTCCAGGCAGAAGTGTTTGCCTATGAGGAAATCACGGAACCGCTCACACGCCCATGTAGAGTCTAGACGCAAAGGCCTCTTTTTCCACTTGTGCATAGCGTTGTTCTGTAGGAGAGAGCGACCTCGAAGCATAAGCTACCGGTCTCCATACTTCTTCCCACAGCTGTAGAAGAACACCTCCTAACCCGTATGATGAGGCATCGGCTGATACTTTAGTGTCTCTGTTTGGGTCGTACATTGCAAGCACTGGCGGTGAGGTTAGCGCATCTTTCAATGTTTTGAACGCTTTGTCTTGATCTATACCCCAATACCAAGTGTTCTTCTTTGACAATAGATCTCTCAATGCTTTGTCTTTTTCTGCCAGATGGGGGATGAACTTGCCCACCTGGTTAACCATGCCCAGAAAACTTCTCAGCTCGGCCACATTTGTTGGCTCTTTCATCTCTGAGATGGACTCTGTTTTCTGCGGATCAGGACTTATACCTGTGTCTGCAATGACATGACCTAGGAAAGCCACTTTGGTCTGTGAGAGATCACATTTCTCCACATTCAGGGTAATACCTGCTTTTTCAAGTCTACGCAGAGTGGCATGGAGTCGGGTGTCGTGCTCTTCTTGATTGCGACCCTATACCAGCACATCATCAATGTGGCAGACCACCTCTTCAAATCCTTCAATGACCTCCGACATCATGCGCTGGAAATGCTCAGGCGCAGAGTTGATCCCAAAAGGGAGACGGTTGAAGTGGAACCGTCCGAAGGGTGTTATGAAAGTGGTCAAGTTGGCGGACTCCTCCGACAAGGGAATTTGCCAGAAGCCCATGTTAGCGTCTAGTTTGCTGAACACTTTAGCTCCCGCAAGCATCCCAAGGCTTTGTTCGACAGAAGGTAACACAAACTTTTCTCTGCACACAAACTCATTTAGTCCTGTAAAGTCCACGCAAAGTCTCAGCCTAGTACTGTTTTTCTTTGGAACTACGACCATGCCGGCGCACCAGTCCGTAGGTTCCTCCACTCGAGTTATGACTCCGAGCTCTTCCATTCTGCTCTACTGTCCACGCCTGGTTGTCAGTGGAAACTGATCCAAGGAAGAAACTTTGTTCCTCTTCCTCTTCAATGCTTTGTACTGTCTTACCTTGTCTGCAGACACGCTGGTAGTGGCCTTTCTTTCCACAAGAATGACATGTTGCATTGTTGGCAGGGCACTCCTTTTTTGGATGAAGAGACCCTCCACATTTGTAGCACCGTGCATTAGATGTGCTTTGGCTGCTGAACTGCTGCTGTGTTTTCACAGTTTTATATTTGGGAATAAACTTTGCTTTTTCGTACTGTTGTTTGCTTTTGATGACTCAAACACAGAGCTCACAGTCATTTGCATCACATTACTTTCACTTCTTAGAGCAGTTTGTTGCTTTTTGATCTCTTCTGTTTGTCTTGCCATATTTACAGCTTTTTCCAAGTCCAAGTTCTTTTCCATTTGCATGCGCTCTGACAGTCTTGTATCGGCCAAGCCCACTACTATTCTGTCTCTTATGAGCTCATCATGGAGTGTACCATAGTTGCAATGCTCTGCTAATGCATGCAGGGTATGGAGCTATTATTGTTTCAATAATATTTGTGTGTGCGTAAACAGATTTGTGTGTGCGTAAAAAGATTTGTGCGTGCGTAACCAGATTTGTGTGTGCGTAACCAGATTTGTGTGTACGTAAAAAGATTTGTGCGTGCGTAACCAGATTTGTGTGTGTGTAAAAGAAATATTTGTGCGTGTGTAAATAGATTTGTATGTACGTATCAAGATTTGTGTGTGCGTAAAAAGATTTGTGTGTGCGTAGAAAGATTTGTGTGTGTGTGTAAAGAAAAAAAAAGGTACGTTTTACACACAAGTTTTTTTTTTACACACGAATCTTTTGACGCAGTCCTGCCTTCGCAGATTCGCAAGTGTAACTTGGACTGTGTGCGTGCGTAAACAGATTTGTGTGTGTGTAATTTGACATTTGTATCTGTAGCAGAACAATCTGTGTGTAAATAACCACGTTGTACGAAGAGAAGAACGGAAAAAAGCCAAAGTGCTACGCACAGGCTCTGTTTTACACACATCTCTTTTTGACACACCTCTGCCGCCAAGCGTGTGTCAAAAAGATTCGTAAGTGTAATGTGGTTGTTCTAGCAGTACACCAGCAGATGGTGCTGTTGTAGCTGGTTATTACCTACAAACCAGCTGAGTTTGTGGCACTAAAGTGTACTGTAGATAGAGAAAACCGAAGGATTTAAGAAGAAGAAAAGTTCAGGATGACAAGGAACACTAAAATTCCCACAAAATCCGACCTTTATGAAAGCTGTAGGTTCTCTGTCAGCTGTTTTAGTTTACTTTGAGTTCTATGGGGAAAATGTCTGTGTAGCCCACGTGAATTTAGTCTGCAGTACGCGAGAATTCTTCAGCTCCAAGCTAGTAACACCCTATCCAGTTATTATAATAGATCCATGTATAATACAGTGGTGTGAATGACAGGATTTTGAAAATAGGAAAAAATAGGTTTTGGTTTGCTTGCGTGTAGGTAATAACCAGCCACAACAGCACCATCTGCTGGTGTACTGTAGGTAATAACCGCTACAACTCTGCACCATCTGCATGGTGTATGCTTTAGAACAAACCACATTCCACACAAATCTTTTTGACACACGATTGGCGGCAGAGGTGTGTCAAAAAGATGGTTTGTGGTTAAAAAAGTGCCTGTGCCGTAGCTCTAGGCTTTTTCCGTTCTTCTCTTCGTACAGGTGGTTATGTCACACAGGATTGTTCTGTTTCAGATACAAATGTCAAATTACCCACACACAATCTGGGTACAGACGCACACAGTCCGTTACATTGCGAATCTGCGAAGGCGGGGACTGAGTCAAAAGGATTTGTGTGTAAAAAAAAAAACTTGTGTGTAAAACTACTTTTTTTGTTCCTTTACACACACAAATCTTTTCTACGCCACACACAAATCTTTTACAGACACACAAATCTTGATACCGTTATATACCATAGACTGTATATGAATGGACAGAGTCACGCCTTCTCTGCGTTCCAACTCAATGGGCCAAATTAATATGCTCTACTGGAGCAATCCCAAAATGGCCGCAAGTGGTCCCGCCCACAAAAAAATGTGAAAAACGCATATGGCGCACTGGCGTCAGCCGGAGAGTGAGCTCCATGCTTTGAACAAGAGGACTTCAAAAATTCACAGCGAGTAAACTAGAGTGGACCAAAAAAATCCACCCCCCTCAGCATTGGGACAAACATGTGGAACGGGAGCTTGTGGGCCAAGAGCCAACTTTGGTCAATCCTGTATAAGAAGTTTTTGAGAGGTCTGCCAATGCTATTTGTTAGCATGGCTCAATTCTAAATTATGGGTCCACCCCATCGGCCCGGGGTGGTATTTGCAGATGTCAGCGCACGTCATTTTGGCATAATTTTGCAGTGGGACACTCCCCCAACTGGTTTATACAAATTATTTTTTTCTACACAAGCAAAATATTTCTTTTTACACACACACAATCTGGTTACGGAAAGCACAAATATTTTAACGTCCCTTAGAGATAGGCTGAGGAGCTCAGTCACACGGGAGGAGCTCGGAGTAGAGCCGCTGCTTCTCCACGTCGAGAGGAACCAGTTGAGGTGGCTCGGGCATCTGTTCCGGATGCCTCCTGGACGCCTCCCTGGGGAGGTGTTCCGGGCACGTCCCACCGGGAGGAGGCCCCGCGGAAGACCAAGGACACGCTGGAGGGACTATGTCTCTCAGCTGGCCTGGGTATGTATGATTGTTTTTTACCTTTCACAAGGTAAGGAGTGACATAACAAAATCAAATTGTTCAGGCTCTGATTGATGTCTCGCAGACAGTGCCCTGCCTATTTCCTCAATAAACTCATCTACACCCCGGCCATCTTTCTCAATGGGTCACCACTAAAAGAAGCAATGTGTTTCTCTCGGGGTACATAGACATAGGACCTGTTAGGCTCCCTGTTTAAAGAGGACATAGCATTCATAACCTCCTCCTGCTTCTTTGCCAACTCTCTTATCTGTTGTAACATGTTTGCGGGTTCATTGTCCTGCTCATTGTGTCCACTGTTGTTCATTGGCTGATCCCCCAGACCAGAATTCTCACCGTCTTGATGCATTTTTTTGAATGAGTTTGGCTCCGTTTCTCACCAACTGTCAATGAAAAAAGTCCAGATGAACAGATAGTGGATCAGTGAACGAACGCTCCTTATGTGCGCTCCTTGTCCTCCTGGTCCTACAGGCGCTCGTGTCACTGCCGCTGCGGTTGATGCTCGGGTCAACCCTCCGCTGATCTCCGCTAGACAGCCGCAACGGTCTTCGCACGTGCAACGTAGCGGTTGGCCGACTTCACCACTGCCGTTTATGTTAACGTTGACACTGCGTGGTGGTATAAAAATACATGAAAAACCCCACTCCTGGTACCAAAATTGAAGCCAGGGTAAAAAGAAACGCTATGCTTCAAAATAAAGAGGGGTTCTTTATTTTTCTTGAAATAAGCCACCAAAATTTGTGTCAGTTAAAGTATTATTAAAACGGCAGTGGCACCTCTGTAACAAGAAACAATACAATCCACGGATTACATTTTAAACATTAAATTGTAAAAAACAAAATGATCCAAACTAAATAAAATAATACAGATTGTTTCTTACCTTTCACAAATCTGAGAAAGATGTCGCATGACAGCAAATTTGCCCTATCAGCTTTCAGTTAAAAACCAAGTGTGTGCTAGCGTCACTATGGAAACCGTCCAGTATGTTATTATTTAAATAAAATACAACAACAAAAAGACACATAACACTGGCAACCTCATTTGAAAAAAACAAAACAAATATAACGAACAACCACAAAGAAAATAAAACACAAGCTTTTACAACAAGGAATATTTCTTCACCTGGTTACATTTATATATATATATATATATATATATATATTATATATATAAATATATAAATACACCCCGTCTGGACCATTAACGTGATGCCGGTGGTTACTAATAAACAGGCCACGCCCCCATAGTGGTTTACATTTTTATTGTTTCACTGCATAAAGATAAATAAGTCACATGATCGTCACATTCTACACACTTATTTATTTCATAGACTTTAATATTGTTTATTGTTATTCATTGTTTATGTGTCTGATGTGGACAGATGCAGCAGACGGCGGCTTAACTCCTCCTCCTCAGCTGTGACACCGCCCTGAGCGGTGAAATCAGTAGGTGGGGCTTCGCGGTTGACGTCATCAGTGGACGGGGTCTCGTGGGTGACATCACCACTGGGCGGGGCCTCACGGGTCTCTCGCTCCTCGATGAAATCCCACAGACGGACAGTGTTCATGAACTGAAACAAACACATGTTCATTCTGCAGCAGCACCACTCGTGGTGAGACATGACCCTGTTTATACTGCGGTCTAACATGCGGCAGTGTAAAGGCCTTTGTATGCTTGCGCGTTACCCGTGCACTAGGGTGGTCCTTCCAGAGGGGCAAATTCTCAAATCGGTATGTTTTAAGCTCCAACCCCTTACATTTGTGGGAATAGCTGGAAAAACTCCCCTGGTATTTTTTTCATCCAATTCCAACAACATTTACCACTCCCTCAATGAGACTAAAGTTTACCCTTATTTTTGTCACAATCGCTAACAACAGGGCAATAACATATCAAAAAACTATGTTGAAAGTATGAGAATGTTAGTGTAGCTATGCTATGATTGGGGCCTTGCGGAGCGTATCGAGGGGATGTTGTTTGACATGACAGCCTCCAACACTGGTCAAAGCAATGGCGCTTGTATCCTGATTGAACAGCAGCTCCAGAAAGATCTCCTGTACTTTGATCAAGCTGCTTCTCGCTGCGGCTTTTACAACGGTAATGGTCCGACATTACATTTTATTGTCATATCTTGTATTTATTCTCAGACAATTAGCGCCGCAAGGGGCCAGAAGGAAATATTTAAAGGTCACTGAGGGCGGGGTAAAGGTGGTCCAATTTAGAAAAAAAATCATGAGGAGAGTTTTCTCAGTTAATCCAAAAAATGTCAGGGGTTGGAGCTTAGAATTACCAACTTCCATTCCAAAGGACCACCCCTCCCCGCACCCTCGAATTTTTCCAACTACGCAGCCGGCAGCACAGAGAAGGTCCACTGTGATCGGCCCGTTTTGGATGGAAGCAAGTATGGGCTCATGGCTCATGAGCCCAATATACGAGGAGGCTGTGGACTAGAGTTTTGTTTGCATATTGCAACAAAAATGTCTTTACCGTACCCTTTTGCACTGTTCCTGCGCCTATCTTTGTTGAATCAGCACTGTACAGAGTCATCGCGTCTGCCCCTTGCATTCATTCTGCACTTGTAAATAGTTCATGTTTGGTCTCAGATATTAATCACTTATTGTTTTACTTGTTTTTGCACTAAGTAAGGGATAATGTATAGTACGCAGGTCATTATCGGAAAATAAGTACCGACAGGACGCCCTGAAGTCCTTTGTACCAACCGAACACACACACAAAATAAACTTCAGTCCACTTTTATGAATGCCGAAAGGTTTACTTAACGACTGCAAATAAAATAGTTCCCAAAGGTTTTCTCGTGGCAGGCGAGTAACAGTTAGGCTAACTACTTCAAAACTAGAACTCTCTCGAACTGCATGAAAACTGAACAAAGAATTTGGAGAATCAGCGGTGAGTGACCCAAATATAAACTCAATCTAAATCCATAATTCAATCCTCTGCCTGCAAATGCATCCTATAATGTTCAATTTATGTTAACGGTTACTTCAGGGTTTCAGGGATAATTTTTTGATGCATTAAAACAGTATTTTTGTCATGAAAACGTTAACAGATAATTCTGAAAACCTCCGTGCAGGTGTAATAAGAACGTATATGTATAATGTATTCTCTGATTAACATTTAAATGTTTAGATTGATTGTTGTTCGTGTATATTGAGCGTGGCTAGGTCTGATTGCTTCTCTCGCCCGTTGTGATGAAGTGGCCACCTGAATTACAAGCAGAGATGGTCATTATTGTTTTGAGAGGTCGGTTATAAAGAAATAATGACCGGTAGAACGTTTAGAAATTATATTCAAATCAATGGAGAGTTCAACTACGGCTGTGAGGAGCCGAACAATAATACAATTTAACTTCCAACAAGAACTGTGTCTTTATTCACAGAATCACAGTTGAAATTAGTCATGAAACAAGGAGTCTCTAGAATATACATTTAATGAGCTCTAATGCCGCGTTCAGACCGGATCATGCGTTGTGTCTAGGGATGTAAAAAACTATGCATTTTCATGACCGACCACCGAGCCTCATTAACCGGTTGAAACCGGTTAACCGCGTAGTTTAAAATATTCCACGTTCTTTGAAATAGCAGCCATTTCGAGCCGCGTACTTTTCATAAGTTTATCTATGCGTTCTACTAGATCAGAGCTGAGACAGCGGCGCCAAAACCCGCAAAAGCTTCGGCACCTTTGCGCACAGAGAACTGCTTTTTTAATCTTCCCATTCTGCTGTGCTGCGGGTTAACCCTTTAGGCGCCAGAGTTTTGACGGCTTGTTCACATGGTCAGAGCAGCGAGTTACACCCCGCGTCTCGCAGGTCTCCGCTGTGGTGACAGTTTTTGGAGTAATTACATAAAACCAGCCGCAGCTAATACACGGACGTCAAAGGCCTTTTATCAAGGCAGAGACGACCTTCTGACGCCATGCTGAGCTTTGTGAGGGCCCCTGCTGTCTGTCACACCCTTGTGTCTTTCGTATCTTGAATCTGTATGCCTGCTTCTATCCATATGTCCCTGCTCCAGGAAGGAGCCGGGCCCCCCCCCCGACACCTACAGACAATGGCGATCACTCTTGCCCCCTTTCACCTCCTGCATATGTATCGGTCTGTATGTGTGCACTTTCTACATCCTGCAGTCTGTTTGCATCCCTATGCGCCTCCTGCACCGGTGGCCCCCTCCCATCTGTTGTGGGCGGGACTGGCTTTCGTGTGTGTCTTGTATACAGGAAACTCGGGGCTCTGCGCCCAGAGCTGGTACATGCTGCCTTTGTGTGTATGTGCTGGCTCTCCGCACGTGTGTATAATAAACTTACGCTCCTGATCTAAGACAAATACTTTTGGGTTTTCTCCTTCATTGGGTAGAAACTTCCGTAACAATTTGGCGTTGCTGACACGTTCTTGTTGGATTTTTTTTTCGGCGTGGAGACGACTCGTGTTGTTTTGGCCAAACCTGGGACAAAGGACCAGCCTCCTACCTCACTTAGTGTTTGACGAGAAGCAGGGGGGACACGGCTCGCCTCGCGCTGGAAAAACTATTCGACTACAGGACCATAAAAGAACCTAATCTGGTGAGTCTTGTCTTTTCATCTGCGTAACGAGCCCAGGGCAGCCCTTAAGTGTACACGGGGATTTGTTTATTTACGTATTTTTGGGGTATTTCATTCATTGCCACAGCATAGTCTGTGTGCGGGATTTTTGGGGTATTGTGTTCTAGATTGAAGCTAGCGGCTGCGCGTTAGTATCGCTCTGTAAGCGACCCTGGAATCTCTGAGTGTCTTCAGCCAGAACCGCTCCGTTTTCAAGAACGCGCGCTCGTTGGTTGAACCAGCGGGGGGGGGAACGGAGCGCCCCAAAGTGGGTAAGAGCAGGGAGAGACTAAGCGGGTTAGGCCCATTGTTCTGTACGAGAAAATGGGAAAATCAATCTAGAGATGCCACACCGAGGGGAAGGTTAACGTCCCCCGTTACAATGACAATGGAAAAACAGTTCGGACCTAAAAGCTATGGAGGCTCTATGTCTCTGAATCGATTACGCATTTTGCGTGATAATTTAGGAGAAGAAAGGAAAAAAAAATATATATATATATACTTGGTTTTAAGAATATCACGGCAAAAGACGTTAGAGAAAGAAATATGTAAAACAATAGCTCCTCCGCTTTTCACCGAAGCGGAGAACACACAGGCGGACACACACACACACACATCCCCCACACCCCCACACCCCCACCCTACCGCCCTTTTTCCCCTACTAACAATAAGTGTGCACCCAAACAAGGCGTTGGGTTTTTAAAAAAAATGAGCAGACTACTGTTGTCCCTTTTTCCTCTCCCTGTCCAGGTCTGTCGGCGCTTTTCCTCCGCGCTCTGTCCTCTGCCTCAAAGCACCAGCCCCACGCCCCAACCACAGGCGGCGCTCGCACCAGCTGAGACCCCGCGAGAAGTGGGCCCAAACCCGGGAGCAGAAGAAGACGTGGCGGAAGCAGATACACGCTCAGGAAACCGCAGAAGAAGAAGCGGGGGAAGCAAATATGTGAGACACCGACAACTGCCTTGGAGGCCAGAGACAAACTGCTCCAAATCCCGTGACTGTTCCCCACGGAGGGGGTAGCGTGAAACACAAAACGCACCCGCTGAAACCTCGTTGAAAGTTGCCCCCGCACCGCAAACAGAAGAAGCCAAAAGTACCGGCACGTTTGGTTATTCACCAACCCTCATGGACCACAGGCTAACGTTATTTGAACGCTTTGGGCTACCTGGGCCTCCTGCGGACTTTGAGAAACTTCCACAGCCCGTCGGAAAGACTGTGTGCTCGACATGGGTCGAAGGACTGTTACCGGAGGAGGCGTTAAAGGCAGAGGACCGCTCAAGCTCACACGGGGCCAGAGGACGGCAGAGGCGGGCGTGGAGGAAACACGAGCGACTGACCAAACCCGGGTTCACATTCGTCACCAAAGCGACCGCTCATGTAAGTTGAACAACAACAAATTGCAATTGGCACTTTTTAGAGATAATTCATGCCCGTAATATACGCTAACAATCTGTGGTGTACAAGTTAAAATTCTGGATGACTCCGGGGCAACAAATTCTGTGCTAAAAGTGACAGCCTTTCTGTCTCCCCTAAAATGAGTGGCCGCTTCACATTCTCATTAGCAGCGGGGGGAGAGACGACCAAAGAGCAATTTACGTCACCGCTAACGTGTTTTGATTCTCAGGGCAACCAGCTTAAACATTCTTTTCTATATTCCCCATTGTGCCCGGTTAATCTACTAGGCCGAGACCTTATGTGCAGACTCAATTAAAAATAGATAAATAAAAGGAGGCACCGGTCCCAAAAGTTAACTACCACTGGAAATTGACACCAAACCCTGAGATTGCTAAGTTATTAGCCACAACAAGTGGATAGAGTGACGCCCGCACAAAATTTGGAGGTCAACCACGCGAACGACCTAAGCTGCTCACTCCGGTCGTTCCCAGACAATAACTTGGAGTTTGAAAATTCATGCAGTGTAGGGAAGATAGGCTAACGGAGTACGTTTATTGAGATAGGCACCACTATCTGTGCTACTTA